GTAACTAGGAAAATAAGGTGAAAATGTAAATTTGTGGATTGATCATCTTTGATTTTAACAAAATTTATAAATGAAATCGATACATTTAAATCCATTGATCTCCCCAGAAAGGTCGAAACAACGCGAAGATGGGAGACAAAGGAGAGTTTGGCTCTTCAACAATAAAATGGCCGAAGATCAAACTCAAACGGAATCTCAATGTCTCTTATCTGAAGAATCTTGATCTCTTCACCGTAAGTTCCTCACTAATCATCACCCTAGGTTTAGGGTTTATATATCTCCCCGACATTTCATAGATAATCCTTTAACACCAAAGTTGAAAAATCTATAATTTTTGAAATCGAACTGATGGGTTTGTGTTTCGTGTCATGTGTTGTACATCAATTAGCTTTAACTTTGCTCGAATCGATCTAGGGTTAAAGCCATGAGGTATGAATTGCCACACAATTTTTCTTCCAAATCCCAAAAAAAAAAAGCTGAATCTTTTAGTTGAAATTGATTCAGTTCAGAGCTGTTTATGTGAGGATCAACCAACAATGATCTTTAGCTCATGTAGAATTAAAGCTTTATCCGACAATTATGTTAGTCTTATGCTCTTCCTTGTTTAAGAAGCAGAACATGGAGTTAATTAAGCTTATAGAGATTTGTTTGCTTTGTCTAATTCATGTTTAGGTGGTTTTGTTTCATAATTTGGTTTGTACAAAATGGATTTGTTGATTTGAGCGGTAGATTGGCTGCTTGAGAGGTTTTTAACTTTCGGGATTACGATTTCAGGTGGAAAACTGTCTCACTTCTGATGAATCAAAGGGCTTTATAAAAATCGCAGAGTCTCTCGGTTTTACTCACCAAGGAAGTCTTGGCCCAGCCTATGGTGAAGCTTACAGGGATAACCACCGAATCTCGGTGAACGATCCTGTCCTTGCGGATACTATATGGCAATCTGGGCTTTCTAATATATTCTCTGACATCAAGATTAGGAGGAAGGTTGCAGTCGGGTTGAATCCAAACATTAGATTTTACAGGTTTTTCAATCTCTGAAACTTTTCCCACTTTTGAAGTTTCGTTCTATATGTCCTTGGTACTGGTTAAACCATGGGAAGATGTGCAAAGAATATGTTCCCGTTCTTGTCATGTTTCTCCATTGGCACAATGTGAAGATACATGATCATTTGTTAATTTCAGGTATACTGCTGGTCAGCATTTTGGTCGTCACATTGATGAAAGTGTTGATCTTGAAGATGGAAAGCAGACCCATTACACATTGTTGATATATCTAAGTGGGAGCAACACCAAATCAAATTCCAAGAGCAACTCAAGCAAGAAAAATGATTCTTCTTTAGCCGAGCCTTTAGTTGGTGGAGAAACCGTCTTTTTTGGTTCAAGGAACAGTATCGTAGCTGAGGTAACACCCAAATAGACTTCCCGCCTTTAAATTTCAGTTTTTGTTCGATATACCATCAAATAAAACTTGCTTATTATCGCAGGTAGCTCCCATGGAAGGTATGGCTCTCTTTCACATCCATGGAGAAAAGTGCATGTTGCACGAAGGAAGAAATGTCTCCAAAGGCGTCAAGTATGTGTTCCGTTCTGATGTTGTTTTTGCATGAAGAACACTTATTCAACTTCTATGGTTTTTGTGTTTCTCACATTTATTACTTTCTCATACAATATGAGCCATCGATTAAGCTTGTGTAGATCATTATTTACCCGAATCAAGTTCATGTTTCCGCTGGTTCAGCGTTTATAACAAGTCATTACTTACTTCTCCATGTCGGTTTTGATGTTAAATGACTCGCATTTGGTGTCCAGTAAGTGAAATGCTGGTGAATATAAAGGTAAATTCACTAGAACAGAACAAATTTACTTGGAAAGCAAACTCTGCAACTCGTAGGGAATTATATGGTTAAAACCGGTCGATACATTTGCCGGGTTTACATTTATTATAATATCAACTATAAATGAAATCAAATTTGAAGAAAAGAAAACCCTCATTTGCTTCCTTGTTCTGTAGCGTTTTTGCTTTTAGTTGATGAAGCGAGACTTAACTCTCACTTCTCCGGTCTCCTTGACTCCGAAGTTTCCAAGTTTCACCATGGAAGTTGCAAACTCTCTGAAGAATGCCTTTTGGTCTTCAGCAAACGTCTCAACGATCCACTTTGTCCGGTAATCTCCTAGGAGTGCCTGATCAGACCCAAACACTCCTTTCCCCGACAAAATCTGCTTGTAGTAAACATTATCAAATACCGAAGTCGTAGAGTCCAAGACCGTCCCTGCGTTCTTGCCTCGGTTAGATCTTGGGCATTTCTTTTTCAGGGATTGCGCAAATGCAAAGTTCATTGAAGGATCAATGTCGTGGAATTTGCTGAAGTTTTGAAGACGGGACTCAAAAGAAGAACAGTGAGAGAACCCTAGCGTGTGGCCACCGGAGAGTGTAACCATGTCTTTCACCGACAAGCCTCTTGCTGCAAAGCTTTGGATCAGTTGAGACACATTGAACGTTGGTGCTGGGAGATTGATAGTCTCGTTTGCTCGGGAAATTGTCCCGTCTTTTCGGCCTTTTAGTACGCTCCAGTATGGACCACCGGACTAAGAAATGAGAAATATTGCGAGAGTTGGGATTAAAAGGTAGAACCGTAGAAGGCAATTTGCATATAGTCCTAGGGGCGTGGACAAATTTAAACCGTAAATGAATTGAAATGTGTTTGTAACTCTGTTGATTTCATTATTGACTCACCAGGGTGACAACATCTCTAGCTGCAATGGCGATTACGTCGGCACAAGACACAGTCCGAGGACAAACCCTTTCGAGCTTTGCCTTTGCATCTTCGATCACGTAAAATGAGCGTACCGAAATGTTTGGAGGACCATCCTTCTCAGCTTGGTTTGACCGAGTCGAGTCTAGTAAAATAGACGCATCACATCCCTACAACAACCCAAACCAAACGATTTACTCAATACTCGAGAAACGATCTTCATCAACTTTACATATAATTGGATCAATGATCAACGATCATCAAATAAAGAAGATGCATACCCTGATGAAGCAATCGTGGAAGAACATTCTAAGAAGACGAGCAGGCACTTTGGGATCATACAAAGTAGCATTTCTAACAGTTTCAAGTATGATTTTTTCTGCAGTGGGGCATGATCGATCATAGTAATGCGCATCAAGCGCAGCTTCTGAGTGCTCAACCATCGCAAAAACCATAAAGATAATCGCGAAAATGAGACTTTTCGAGAATGCCATTTTATGGTTTTGTGTGTTTAGGCCTCAGAAAGCACTCTTTGTTCTTGAAGTTGTTTTGAGGATTTGATGAAGAAAGAAGAAGCAGGACTATTTGGCTTATATAAGGAGAAACATTCTGGATTATTGAGAGGCTAATATTCTAGAAAATGTGTATGTGTATAACATATGCTTTAAAGTTACTCAAATTATTTCGAACAAACATGCATATATTCCGGTGTTCGTATTATTTTTTCTCCAAAAAATCGTACTTTGAGTCTAAGCATGTACTTGGTTTAGAATATGTGCAGCTGATGAGCTGGACAGGCCTTTATTGTGTTTGGTAACCATAAGAAAGTATATATTTGACCGTGAATTTATCCATCTATTGATCTAGCTATAAAACACATGGATGCTCTTTGTATTTGATATTTAAACTCATGAAACATATTACCTTACATTGTATTAGATTTTTTTTTAAGTGATGTACACAATTCAGTAAATTTATGGTGTATTTGTCATCAAACATTAATAAAAAAACGTGATGTTAAATTAACTAGGCTTGAATCCGCACAAGAGTGTCATTTTGAATCACATATTGCATGATCCAAATAAACTCTTTTCAAGTTAAGAGAATTCAAACACATTTTTGTCTAAACGTTGCTCCAATATAGAAAGCATACCAATACAAGAATGATGTTACTCTTTCCAAGTTAAGATGAAAATAACCATCTTTCAACAAGTTCATAATAATTCCAAACAACCTTAATCAGTTCAATAATTGCAAAAATATCATTTCAGTAAAATAATTATACTTCGGAATAAATATTAAATAAAAGAATGATGTTGTTTATCGGAATTACAATTTGATTGCATTATGAAATTAATATACATGAACAAAAAATGTTGAAAAAAGGAAATATATAAATAAAGTTGAAAAAACATGATTGTAAGAAAATGTCACTTTT